GAGGCACCAGCGACCCCCGTGACCCAAAATGGAATAAGCGGGTAAAGAAAATGGATGGATGGATAAAAACTCCATGCCATTCCATGCGGCTCATCCATCAATCTGCCAATTGTGTGTCATGTCCAATCTTATTTTGAAAAACCGCAATAGAGCGAGTCTGTGAAAATCAAACCATGAAGTATTGAGTGTCTACTGTGTATTTAGTTCTACCTAAGTCAACATTTATTGTGTTATGGTATATTTTACCCAACCTCGCTAAAAGAAATTCAGTGTCATCCTAATTTCAGTTACCATCTGTCATTTGTGGAAGTATATTCTGTGTTGTATTTATTTCTTTATCTATTTGCCTTTTTGAATAAGATTGTGTATACAGTTAGTGTGTTTAGTGCTCTCATTTATATATGCAGATATGTTTTATTATGTCCATCATTTTTAGTTCAAAGCAGATTTTTTTGTATTTGGAGATTGAGTTATGTGTGTCCTCCACAATGTCTTTTTTTATTGTCACATCATGGTATTGTTTTCATGAAGCCTGTGTGGTAAATGTTTCAAAACAAACAAAAAACTAAGAATTTAGTTTGTCGTATTCTAAGGCTAACTTATTAATTTAATCTTTTTTTATATTGGCACTCATTGTCTACCATGAATCACTAGTTACAGTGATAGCTGGTTTCTTTAAATCAGTTTCATCACAGACTGAACTGGTTTTACTTTGTGTGATTTTAGATAGAATAGAATAGAAATACAATAGAAACAGCCTTTATTGTCCCACGGATGGGAAATTCAAGTGTAACAGCAGCAACAGATAAAAAGATTTCACACAAACGTTCCTAAATGTTAAAAACAATATATAAAGAAATAAGATAAACAATATCAGTAATAATGTTCAATATGTGTTGGAACATTTTCTCCCTGTTAGGTGATGGAGCTGAAGGGTCAGATGATCCATGTGCCCGAGTCCTGCTCTTTGATGTTTCTGGGCTCTCCTCGTGTGGATAAGTTAGAGGAGCTGATGGGCAGGGGCCTCCATCTCTCAGATATACCTATCCACGATGCCACACGAGACGTTATCCTTGTAGGGGAGCAGGCCAAGGCCCAGGACGGCCTAAAGAAAAGAATGGACAAACTCAAGGTAAAACACATACACACGTGTCTTTAAACTAAGGGCCTGTTTACACGACAACGATTCAATGAAAACTGAATTTTTTTTCCCATTTCTGAAAACATTTTAATTACAATCTCTGACTGCACAGCAACGGTAGATGTGGAAACAGTGTAATTCCTCTGCCATGCCACTAGTTGGTGCTATGTTCTTTGAAACTTGAAACTCTAAGTGCGCATGCGTTAAAAAAAAATGTTTTATTAAATTTTTGATCGTTTAAGTAAAGAGATGGAAAATGACCACTGTGTTGGAGAGCCGTAGTTAGATTTATCAGACTCAGAAGCACCAACAATACTCTGGTATCCGCCATTGACGATAGGTTCTTCTTCATTGGATTATAGGAAGACAGTATGATTTATGTCATACTGCGCATGCACCTGGGATTCCCTGACAGAAAATATAAATTTTTTTCTGTTTACACAATAATGGACACCCGGACATTTTTGAAACATTGCACTCAGGAGCCTGTTCTCAAATTGTGCCGTCGTCAGAAAAAACATTCACTGTTTTCATGTATATGTAGAGTACAAACGCAACGAAATGCTTCCATTTTCACCAGAAATTGTTTTTGTGTAAACAGGGCCTAAGCTTATCTGTAAAAAATTATCTGTTTTACGAACAGACAGATTGACTTATGTCAAAGGTCTCATTGGTAAAAATATTTTAGCTTTGTAATATTTTAGTAAGCTCTACTAGATAACATGCACAGACCTCATAACAGGCTAAGTGCATTCAGGCGTGAACAAGACTTTAGGCAACAAAATCCAAATGTGACTGACCACAATTCACAACGTTTCACTTGTTTTTAGTTGTCCATAATGAGCCAAACACCTCAGTGACACATACATAGTAGGGGTGCGCAGATAAATCGACCGGCCGATTTATCGGCCCCGATTTCCTTAATTTTGGGAACTCGGAAATCATCCGATACTTACATGAAAAAATGATTTTACAGATTTTTGTTGTTTTAACAACGATTGTCTGAACTTCATTTATATTTCACAGCACTACCTCATGGCCAATTAAAACAAGTTTGTATTGGATCTAAGATATTGTTCAAGGGTATGTTTTTCACTCAAATAATACTGGAAAATTGAAGGTGCATTGTGACCTAATAACACCCGACAGTGTCGCTTATCAAACAAAATCAGAATCGGCAGGTCAGACTTTTTAAAAATCAGTGATCGGCCAGAAAACTGCAATCGGCGCAGCCCTAATACATAGTAAATCCCATGTATCAGCTGTACTTAAAAAAACCTGTAATAATCCAAACTGGCTGGAAGAATGACACTCGTGAGAGCTGCTCTTTTAATTTGTTTTCAGAGCTCTCCTTTGCAAGTCTTTTGGTTTTCATGCCGTTCTGTTTCTCTGCACATTGCACCAGTCTCTCTCTGCAACCTCTCCTTCACTGTTATAAATAGCTTCATCACAGTCCACTTGGTTGAACGGTCACAGCACTCCAGCATACAGACTGGGTATTTAAAAGCCCACAAACAGGCAAATATAGATATACAACTGAAAATAATTCACCTGCAGATGTATTTGCATACAATAGCCATTTTGGTTTGATGTTTTACCCCCACCTTTCAGCACAAGAACAAGCCTCTTAATCTCCCTCTCTCATCCCTCAGGCCACACTAGAGCGCACTCACCAGGCTCTGGAGGAAGAGAAAAGGAGGACTGTGGATCTCCTGTATTCAATATTTCCAGGAGATGTGGCACAGAAACTGTGGCAGGGTCAGCCAGTACCTGCTCGTAAATTTGATGATGTCACTATGCTGTTCTCGGACATCGTGGGTTTTACTGCCGTTTGTGCCCATTGCACGCCCATGCAGGTTATCTCCATGCTGAATGAACTCTACACGCGCTTTGACTACCAGTGTGGCATTCTGGATGTTTATAAGGTCAGTAGAAACATCGTCTTTATAGTATTTAGGAATAAAAGAAGCAGTTTGATTCGAGAGGAGAGCAGATGTCACGACGTCACTGATCAATCCCCAGTTTGATGATGAAATATTTGTTCCCTTACAGTGACAATTTATCAGAAAGATATAAACTTCTTTCTCAGGCTTTAAGCGCCGACAGCTCAATCTTATTGCTGAGTATGATGCTGTCTATGTGCGCTGGATCTATATATGGTACACTGTGACGTGGAGGCGTACTTTTGTTGTGGAAAAAGTAACTGATTAATAGACAGTCTGTGGGGACTTAACAAAGATGTGTCAATATTGTCCATCTGACAGTGTGGCTTCAGGCCAACTTACAGTCTGCTGTGGTCTGCTATCTTTTTTCCTCTTTTCATCCCCACATTTCGTTACCAGAACTTCTTTTTTTCCTACTCAACATCGTCGTCTTAATGAAAATGTGCCTCTTGTGTATATGCAATCTTCGTAAAACATGACACGTAGAGGAAGGAAGGAAATAGCCGTGATTATGAAGGTCTTTGAATGTAGCACTGAAGGAGTTTGTGTCAAAACAGAAAGCACGAAGAGGAGGCTGAATCGCCTATATGTCCTCATCGTCATGGTTACCATCAACATGATTTGGACAGTGAGCAGTTTATTGTCTTAATATTTATGTATATATTTATTTAATCTTCATTCTTTTATTCACTCTATTTTAAAGAAACACTGTCTCCTACTAGGTCTTTTAGCTAATGTTTTCTAATGGAAATATGACACATCCATGAAGCAGGCTTTTAGTTTTTTCTTAGTTTTATTTACATACGGTGTTAGAGTTTATTCCTGAGCAAGGCAGACATGTCTAACTTGTACTGCAGTGATCCTGGTTAAGTGTCATTTATCATGGTGCTGGGAGATGTTTATGCTTTAAAGCTTTTGCATCCAGTTAATGCATTTTTGTCCATATAGAATGAAAAAAGCACCAAATCAGAGAGCTGTCTCTTTTTATTGCCTCTGGAAATCTACAGCTCATATCCTCCAGGTTATACAACTGAGGTATTAGTACAAATAAACCCAAGTGAAAATTGATTACATCTCCTTTATTAACAAAATTATAACTTGCCTATAAACCTTTTTTATTATTATTTTCCTCCTATATTTGCAAAACATTAATGCATATCACAGGGCAGTCAGCTTTTTTCTACAAGACCTCAATACTTGACTAACCTTACCATGGAAGCCCAGACGGTCCTCTCCCTTGCCACATCCACCAGCTCCTCCTGGAGGACCCCAAGACATTCCCTGCCAGCTGAGAGATATAATCCCTCCAGCGTGTTCCGGGTCGGCCCTGGGACCTCATCCTGGAAGGATGTACCTGAGAAACCTCCATAGAGAGGTGTTCAGAAGGCATCCTAACTAGATGTCCAATCCATCTCTGCTGCCTCTTTCACTGTGCAGGAGCAGAGCTGTTCTACTCTGAGCCCATCCTGGATGTCCGTACTCCTCACACTGAGCCCATCCACCCTGTGGAGGAAACTCATCATGTATTCTATATGTGAGGGATGCACGATATTGGATTTTTGGCCGATATTCGATATGCCGATATATTAAAACTTTTTCATTCACTTAACCGTTATTTAGACAGGTTAATCCCACTGAGTCTCGGGGACTCATTTACTAGAGAGACCTGACTTTGTAACAAAGAGTGATGACAACAGTAGATAACAACAACAATAGACAGTCATAAAATAGGCATAGGCATACAAATTAAAGTTTCTCTTTTTTTTACAAATCAAAACAAAATATCAACCAAAAGGACAATCAAGAGGAATAGTAGCAACAACAACAAAAAAAAACCAGCTAGATTATAAGGTGATTTAGAAAACTAAAAACAAGAACATGGCTGCATTGGTTTTTGCCAGGAACTTAACAGATGTTTGAAGCCACTTAGAGAGGTCCAGGTCGAGAGCTTCAGATCTTTTTGTAAGATATTCCAGGAAAAGGAGCGGAGTAGGAGAAGGCCCTTTTCATCTAGTTCAGTCCTCACTGAGGGAACACTGCAGGTAGTAATGTCCTGAGAGTGCACGCTGTAGCTGCACTCGCGCTGCACTTATTTGAAAAACTTATTATACTTACTTACTACTTACTATACTAACTTATATACTTACTTACTTATTATAAAACTTATTTGACCAATAACTGATACCAATACAGATATTTTTTTTTCCTACACCTACTTACAGAGACTGCAGAGCTTTCTCTGCTGTGGAATTAAAATACTGCATTATTCTGCATGCTCTTTGTCAGTTTGGCCTGCTACCAAATGCAGATGCCAAAAATTATGTAATGCTTGAACTTGGATCATGTTTAATGTCAAATTTATTCGTAACATTTATTCTCTCTAACACAATGACAACACTTGCACAGTGCAGATTTGTCAATTTTCACAAATCTAAACTCAACATGTTCACAAGCGACAAGTAAAAAGTGCAGAAGTAGTAGTGCCTTAATAGATAAACTTAGTTTCTTAAATTAAAAATGAACTTAAAACAGAAGCCTTTTACTGTATATCGGTGAGTTTTGATGGAATGGCCGATGTCCGATATTTAATTTTATCGATAATCTCGTCCGATGCCATGCCAATAATATCGTGCATCCCTACTACATGTCGTTCTTTCATTAACTACCCAAAGTTCATGACCATAGATGCAGGTTGGACTGTAGGTCGACTGGTAAACCAAGACAGTCACGCTCCGGCTTAGATCTTCACTGTAACTCATGGGTTGATCGCCTGTATCGCTGCAGATGCTGTCCTAACCTATCTCTCCAACCTCATAGTCAATCTCATAGTTATTTATTAATTAAATTATTCATTTGTTTCATTTGAACAAGGTGATTTGCAAGCTTGAGAATTGTAACAATGAAAATATTAAATTTGTATTTATATTTGTCTCGTTAAACCAAAGCTTGTACCTAATAGAAAACCTTTGTGATTGTGAGTCCTGAACAAATATGTGGTAAACGTGAGGCGGCAGCTCGGAAAACTGGTGTCAGGATTCAGTGGAAATATTTGTTTATGCTCGGGATTTTTGCCTTTTCAAAATGGGCTAAAAGTAAACCAAGTGAAAGTAGTTGACAAGAGTATTTTGAACGCACACCATTTCATCATGTACATCGTAGTCCACAAAGACAGAGAGCAGCTCTTGTGTGGAGTGAGGAGTCGCTGATTGCTTTAAATTTTCTGCTGCTCAGAATCAAGTAGTTTAACATATCACCATATAATCACACTCATTTTATATTATTTACTGACTTCAGCTCGTGCTGGTCTTCCTTTTCTCACACAGATTGAGACAATAGGTGACGCTTACTGTGTAGCTGGAGGGCTTCATAAGAAGGTTGACAGCCATGCGAAACCAATCGCTCACATGGCTCTGAAGATGATGGAGCTGTCTGAGGAAGTGCTGACACCTGATGAGAAACCTATCAAGGTGAGTTTTACATTCTTCCTTTACTATGCAGCATGTATGTAAATGTTCTGGGGTTTTGTTTTAGATAGTAGCCTTCATTTTGTAGCTTAAAGGCACTTGTCATCTGAGCCAGTTAAAACAAGAAACAAGACTAGAAATCATTTTTGAGACCTAGGTGGGCGATAATGCCTTAAAATTATATCTCAAGGTAATTTGCAAGATAACTTCGCAATAATTTCTATGAATCAATTAGTCTACCTATTAATGGAAATGCATCTCATGATTAATACAGCAGTCCTTTGTTGAGTCATGTATTCATCTTTTGACTGCATGACATGTACAGCTGTGTCTCCTCTACAAAGGCCTTCATTGCCATGTTGTCCACTGTTTTTTTTAACTTGTTTGCTTTGTTTCTACTTTAGAAGTGACAGTTCATTTTTGCATATTTTAATAACAGTCCCACGTTGTGAATGCACGCACACTATCACAATATTGATGTTGCAACGTGACACTTCTCTGTCACAAAAGTTACACTGGTATTATTATATGGAGGGTACAATATATAACAGCTCTATCTGGTTTGTAACAGGTTTAGCATGTGACCTCTGGACAAATGTTTTGTTGGTCAGTTTCTGTTCTCATTTAGCCAAACCACTTAGAAATTGTTGAAGCAGTTTCCAGAGGCTTCCATGCTGCTCTAAATGTTGCTGTTCCACTTGTTATTGGTAGACAAACAGCGTTTAAACGTCGGCTCTGAAACATAGGTGTGTCAGCCTCATGTTTGAGGTTCTGCTCTCGCTGCTGGCTCTGAGCAGAGCGTTCAGCGTATGTGTCGGCTAACTCCTGATTTCAATTGCTGCTTTTTTCCTGCTACACTACCACATGCAACAACATGCAAATGATGTGAACCCACTACTGGTCTGTTGTTGTGAATGCAAATGCCCACTGTCACAATATTGATATTGCAATGTGACACTTTTCTGTCACAAAAAGTTCCACTGGTATTATTGTAGAGCACATGTGTCAAACTCAAGGCCCGGGGGCCAAATCTGGCCCTTGTTGACATCTTATTTGGCCCCCAAGATGATATGTTAAATATAAAACACTTTTATCAGTTGAATTTTTTTCAGTAATATTTGATTATGATGTAGCACGTGCAGCAGAAAACATCAAATGAGACCAAGGAAACTTTTGTTGAGGAACCTGTAACCAAGAAAAGGTGTCGGGTAACTAACTTGTGTTAATGTAGATTCTGAAATTGGCCCTTAGTTTGAAAAATGTTTTAACGTTGGCCCCCTTTTGTAAGTGAGTTTTTCACCCCTGTTGTAGAGGGTACAATATATAACAGCTCTATCTGATTTGAATGGATTTAGCATGTGACCTCTGGATTTAAGTGTTCAGGGTTTGTTTGGTTTGTCTGATCATGCCAGCAATACCCGTACATAAATCATTTTCAGGAGATATGTTCTCATGAGGAAGGATGGGGACCAAGTGATTAATATATTTCATAAAAATGTATTTGTTATTACTAAACCAGCTCTATCACCTCAGATTTAATGGTTAAAAATGAGAGGTGAAGGTTGATCCTTGGTCTACTTTTGGTGACCTCAGAATTCTTCTGCTATTTGCAAATGGTGTGGTCCTGTTGACTTCATCGTGCCGTGATCTCCAGCTCGCACCGGAGCAGTTTGCAGCCAAGTGTGAAGCAGCTGGGATGAGGATCAGCACCTCCATGATCCTCAGTCAAGAAAGGGTGGACTGCCTCAAGTGGAGGAGTTTTAAGTATCTCAGGGTTTCATGTGCAACTGATGGAAAACTGTGTATAAGACTGATAAACGTACCAATGCAGTTATCGTAGTATTGTGTACTCTCTACTGGTCCATAGTGGTGAAGAGGGAGAGGGAGCTGAGCTGGAAGGTGAAGCTCTCTGTTTACCAGTCTATCTTTTCCTATACTCTCACCTAAAGTCTTGTACTCTGGGTAGTGACCGAAAGAACGAGTTCTCAGATACAAGCAGTCAAAATGAGTGTTCTCAGCAGGGTAGCTGGACTCTTCCTTAGAGACAGAGTGAGAAGTTCAGTTACCTGGCAAAGACTGAGTAGAGCCGCTGCTCCTCCACATCAAGAGGAGCCAGTGGAGGTGGTTCAGGCTTCTTATCAAGACGCCCTCTGGATGGCTCCCTAGGGAGGTTTTCAGGGCAGTCAAGCTCAGAGGAAACCCTGAGACCCAGGATGCGCTGGAGAGACTATGGCTATGTTCACACTGTAGGCAAAACTAACTCAAATCAGATATTTGTTTCTCATATAATTTTCATATCTGTTTTTTTTTAATGGCACTCTGAATTTGACAAATCAGACTTTTTCCAATTTCAACCCAGAACTTTTTCATAGGTGTTACTAAATCTGATACATAACCGATGTTGTTCAAAGCAACCGCTGTTTGAACAGTCTGTTGCATTTCATCTGACTTATATATCAGTGAGGTAGGGGTATGTGGATCGATAATATTGATGCCAACCTCGTGCACTTTAAATCTTGGAACACAGCACATCTTCAGCTACAGAGCAAAAGTTCAGCTGCTTTGTCTTTGTTCTTTTTATTTCCCATGTCCAGCATCGACACCAACATGTGCTACTAATACTCGTGTTAGTTTTGAACCATATCTTCTAATACTAACACGATACTTGAGTTGTTTTCTAACTTC